CTTCAAGAATTAATTATTAATAATTGTGGTATAGAACAAATTAAATTACCTGATCAAGATTTTAACGGTTGGTGCAAAAGTTCTCGGAAAAATGTCGCTTCATTTTTCGTCCGATAAAACATGTTTTATAAAAATAAAAAATATCTATTCAGAATCGACGTCGAAAGCGCTTTCTAACTGTATATTCAAAAAATTTCTATTATGTCTTGCCTTTAAGTAACGAGCACGTCCTTAAATGACACTAAAATATACTCTGTAAAAAGCAACCCACAATAATTGTGACATAAGGAATCGATATTTCAGTATTTTTCGAATATCTCCTATGCGTTCCGTCATATATTGTGGCTCTTTTCCCCATTACATTCGTCGTTTAATTCTCTACGAACTCGGCAGAAAATACTGTGGCATTGCTTAAAAATCGGCTCCTTCTGTCATAGTCATTGTGGGTTGTTTTTTTTACAGTTGTAGTACATTTTAGTGTCATCTAAAGACGTGACCGTTACTCAGAGGCAAGATATTCTAGAAATTTTTTGAACATCCAGTTAGATAGCAGTTTTAACGTAGATTCTGAATAGATATTTTTTATTTTGTCAGAACGCGTTATGGTGTGGTCGATGAGAAATGAAGCGATATTTTCCGTGAACTTTTGCAACATCCGTTATTTTAAAGAAATTTCTAAAATAAATAAATAAAATTTTTTTTTCTTTTTAATATTTAGTTGATTCAAATGAATTATTTCAATCATTAAAATATGTTTATATATCTGATAATAAAATAAGTTCATATTCATCATTAATATCATTAAATATACTTCGAAATCCAATATATGGATTAAATCAATTTGAAAATGAAATAGCTAAACAAATGATTATAGCTCGTTTACTTAATTTAACATATTTAAATCGGGTTATTATTAATCAAGATGAAAGACGTGGAGCTGAAATTAATTATTTAGAAGGTTATGCTCAAGATAATTTTGATAAAAAATAAGATTTTATTCATCGACATAGACAATATCAAAGATTAATTAATAAATATGGTGAACCTTTAAAACCAAATAAAAATCAGGTTTGAATTTTATCTTTTACATAGAAATTTATCCGACATTTAACTTTTTTTATCTTATCCATATTAGAATATATATTCATAAGAATAAATAGACTTTTTAAACATTTTCAAATATTTTTCATCGTTGACGTTAGAAATTATAAAAATCCCTAGTCGATGAATACATTAAATATGATGCAGATTTTGTTGATAATGAAAGAAATATTGTTTTATATTATTGTCGATAAATGCAATAGCTAGCTTATTCGTTTATTAGAAGAAGATATTATTCATATTTTAGTTAAGATTTATGATGACCTGTGATGATAATAAATGCAAAATTCTCCTCTATAGTTTAATTCTCATTTTAAATCATTTTTCCGATAAATGTTTTCTCTCTCATTGAATTTTTATCGTTCTGAATAGAGTGAGATTTTTATTTTAATTTAATTGAATAATAAGAAACAACAATTGCGCTTTCTTATTCGAGTCTTAAAATTTTCAAAAATATTTTATTGTTATTCATTTTAATAAAAATCTTTTATCGGTATTGATTTTATTCATTTCTAGGTGTTAAATAATAGTTTAGAAAACTCTAATTAAATTCTAATCTTCATTTTTATTTTGAGTTTATTAATAAAAATCTCTTTATTGTTAAACATCAATTGAATATATAATCATTCTCGAAAATTTTTTATATATTCAATTTTATATATTTATTATTAATCATCAAAAAAATAAAGAAAAAAGATAAAGTGAAAATCTTAATAAGCTGAAATAAAGAATGTTAATCAAAACATTGAAATATGTTTCTATAATAAAATAATAAATTCTATTTATATATTTGTAGGCATTGAAAAAAAGGTCTTTATATTTATCGAGATTTATTAAAAGTTATATTTGAACTTGATGATGAAAATCAAATAAATATTCGATTATCAATAACAATAGCAAAATTAAAAATATTTATTCGAATATTATTTCCATCATAATTAACAAATTATATTCAATTTAATTTATTTGTTATTATTGATAAAAAAAAGCATAAAGAATTTCTATCAAATGATTATCAAGATATTTAATTTTATTTCGAAAATTATTTTTCAAATGATAATAATAATCAATCTTCGATTATTAGAATTGAAATATTTTCATAAACACATAACAACTTTTTTTAAAACTATTTTTCATTTGTCAAAAATATGAAATATATTTTGTTGAAAATTGACTAGATTCTTCTATCAGAAATAAATTAAATTAGAGAAAAAAATTTTCATGACATAGAATAAATATTTTATATGAGAAAGAAAAAAGCAACATATGCTTCTCTTCACATTATTTTCCATGAATCATAGAACGATCGACGCCTACAACCAACAAAGACCGAAAAAAAAAGAAATAATCTGAACTTTTTTTTTTCTCTTTTACTTATAGACGACGAGATGAACGAGAGAACAACTCTGAAAAAACGAAGGAAAAAAAACGCCGGAGAATGTTGTTTTTCTCTTTTCTGATTCTTTATTTTTCTTGTAGATTGACATTTGTAGAAGACGAGTTATTTTCCAATGGAATATCTTACCCTCCTTCTTGTTTTCATCGCCTTCGTTTTAAATGTCAATGGAAGAGCATTTCATGAACGATTTATTTCAAGTAGTAGTGATTCGGACGAAGTAAATATTAAATATAATATATTAAATAAAAACTATACTTTATTTAGAGAACTATAACATATAAAGTTATTGGAAAACAACCATTAAAAATGGTCTCATCTGATCAAGATTCTCAACATGAATATAAACTTGGTCAAGTTAGTGGTCTTGCTGCATCTGTTAAAAATCCAAATCGATTATTTATTTTTCATCGAGCATCAAGAGAATGGAATCAAGAGTATGTTTAATGCATACATTCTATTTAAAAACAAAAAAAAGAAAAGCAAAAAACAAAAACAAAAAAAAACAAAAAAAAAAAAAAAACAAAAGTTAATGACGTTCTCGTGTACGTTTATTATTGAACCAAACACGAATTTGAGCCGGTTTTAATTGAGTTCGAGTTGAAAGATCATCAATTGTTGTTTTTGATACATATTTATCAACTTTATTAAAATGTTCTTCAAGAATACGAATTTGTTCAGGAGAAAAACGACGATTATTCTTTTCACGACCAACCTGAAACATAGAAGTAGATGAACTTATTTCATTACTTACTTGTTGTTGAGGAACACCTCTATAATTATAATATGGATATGGTTGATGAATAGGACATATACCAATTTGAGGAGGAGGAGGTGGTGGTGGTGGTGGTGGATAATTGTGCACTGGACAATAACCTGGATCTGAAATATAAGAAAAAGAAAAAGAATCATCACCTGAACTATAACAATATGACCAGTCGTGAACATATGACATTCTTCGGTTTTATACTGAATGATTTCACTATCAGACAGACATATATATATATATATATATAGAGAGAGAGAGAGATATGAGAAGAATCTATCGAATAATTGATACAAATATAATTAGACATCAAATAGCGAAGACGAAAACGTTTTTTTTCTTTTCTTTTCTGTGATATAAAAGTGTACTTTTTGTATTTTTATTTAAAGATCGTTTCCTGATGGTGTAAATTTTGATAAGAATAAATTTGGTGTTATACCGGAAAATACAATTCTTACAGTCAATACTCGTACTGGTCAAATAATTGATCAATGGGGAAATAATACGTTAGTTTTTCATATTTATTAATTAATAAATAAATCTCATTATTTGATTTTGAAGATTTTACATGCCTCATGGTCTTTCCGTTGATATTGAAGAAAATCTTTGGTTAACAGATGTTGGAATGCATCAGGTAAACAAAAACAATAAAATAAATAAATAAATGAATTTAAAATGAAAAAATTCAGGTATTTAAATATTCGAAAGGTGAACGTGTATTAACATTAGGTGAATCATTTGTTGCTGGTAGTGATTCATCACATTTTTGTAAACCAACTGATGTTGTTACATCAAATGATGGTTCAAATATATATGTTGCTGATGGATATTGTAATGCTCGTATTGTTAAATTTGATTCAAAAGGAAATTTTATAAAAGAATATTCAATGCCTCAAGGAGAACAACCACTTATTATTCCACATAGTATTATTATTATGGAAACATTTCATCTTGTTTGTGTTGCTGATAGAGAAAATGGACGGTAAAACATTGGTTTTTTTTTATTTTAATTATTTTTATAAAAAAATAATTTTATTTTTTAAATAGAATTGTTTGTTTTAATGAAGAAAATGATGATGATCAAACAAATGACTATGATCAAGTTAAAGCTATTATTGATCATCCATTAATGAAAACTGTTTATGCTATTGATTATGATCCAAATAAACGTATGTTATTATTAAATAATAATAATAATAAATAAATAAATTTGTTTTAATAAATAGATCGTCTTTATGCAGTTAGTGGTAGAAATGGAAAAAATCGAGCATTAGGTTTTACATTTAGTGTTCATCCAGAATCATTTGGTCAATTGATTGCTACTTGGGAACCACATGATGTTTGTCTTTTATGTTTTTTTTTTAAAACAAATATTCTATTATTTGTATATTGTTTAGAAATTTGGTGAACCACATGATTTGACATTAAGTGTAAATGGTCGTTCATTATTCGTTGGTGAAATTCGTCCGAATCGTATTGATTCGTTTGATGTTCTCAATTAATTTAACCAAAAAAAATATTTTTCTTTCTTCTTTCTGAGCAATAATCAACAGTCGATCTTTTTTCTCAAAGATTTTATTGAAATATATCTCGAATGATTTTAATATAAAAATAAATCAATGTTTACTGAATTCATTGATAATATATTGAAAAAGTTTTCTTTTTTATTTTAATCAAAATTAATTAATTTAGCTGAAAAATTTTTAAAAATGACTCGAATCAAGTTTCAAATTCATCATCATGTGTAAATCGGTTCTTTTCTTCTATGTTAGAAGTAGAAAAACGGTGATTCAACTCGATAGTTAGATATTTTCCTATCTCGAAATCAAATCGAGTATTTGACTATTTTTCAATATGTTTCGACCGGAAAATCTCTCGATATAAACCATCGAAATTATTGATCTAGGTTACATCAAGCAGTTATATGAAGGGTTTATTTCAGTTAAAAAGTATTTTTATGTTAATAAAATAAACTTTTTGTTTTTGAGGTAGTTATTAACGATAGACGATAATATATATTATCTATCATATCATTACTACTTATATAATAAAGACTATAACGGTTGTCTCTAAGAGAAAGACGAATAGATCCAATAAAGAAGGATTTTACTTGTCCGTTTATTTGTTTGTATATAGAAGGATTTTTAGTTTTATTCCATAAAATTTCCAACATATTCAATTTAAAGATATTCAATAGAATAATAACTATACGAATATATATAGTCGATTATTGAATAGAGGCACGATAATAGAAAGAATCTTTTTTCAATGAAACATTTCATTTGACATTGAAATTTCTCAACAATGAATTGTTTATTTGATATTTCTTAACGAAAATTTCAAGTTGATTTTAAATTGATAATAACATAAAGTACACAATGAGATAATGGAACTATAATCTTTTTTAAGATTTATTCAATTTCTGTTAATGTATTTCTAGTCGTCATATAAAACATTTTAAAAATAATTATCTATAAAACAAATTATCAAAGAATAAAGCAAAATAGGATTAAGTCTAGAGATGTTGTCTATTTTGTTAATATTAAGAATATTTCTTCTGAACAAAAAAAGTTTTTCTTATTTGAAATACATAAAACAATCAAGAACATAACATTGAGAGTATGAGAGAAGATTGAAATATAAATACATTTAAAAATTCTAACGTATATTGCTACTTAAATAAAGTACGAAAGCATTTATTATTTTTTTTGTTGAATGTCATATAGGCATAAATAATCATCAATTCGTTATTAATCAAAATACATTTGTTTTTTTTTTGAAGAATTGATTTCAAAAAATGAATATCTTTTCACATTGATCTTACAAGATCTATTTTTATTTTCTAAGTCTTATAGTATAAGTAGAAAACGACGTTTACAAATGGTAAGCCTTTTCATTAATTTCATGTGTTTTTTTTAACATTGATTTTCAAATAAAATAATCTAATGTTTTCTTGTATAAAGAAAGTTTATTTAATAAGATAAAGAATATCTAGAAATTTTTCTAAAAATGTATATGAAATTATCTATAATATTTCGATATATTATACCTATTTTATAGATAACTTTATTCGAATATTCGTTTAGTGTTGTGGTGGGATTAAAGATTTTGCCTTTTGGCTCTCACATTGAATAACGAGTAGAATCTGATATCGACATATTCTTAATGACATAGATATATTCTATCTGTGAAGTTTGATGAATGAGTTATCTCTCTATCTAAATCAATATATGAAGATATAAAGAATGTCATTTAAAAAGAATAAATTATGATCATTATTGGATATTAATCAAGAGCAAGTACAAATCAAAAGCAACTCATCATCAACTATATGAAATAATTATCCCATGTTGAATTAAAAGAGTTCAATAGAAAAATACTTGAAGAAACAAACAAAGGTACACTATTTCGAATCAATCATTTATAAGTTCTAAATTCTGTCAAAAGTTTTCTCAGCAAATAAAGAAGATGAACGGAATTCTTTTGAAAATTCGAATGTTTCGTTATTGTAATCGATGAAATAAAGCTCGTGGAATATAGATATCAAGCTATGTTTAGAAGATGTGTTTGCCGATTAAGATTAAACTTCATCAAAAAGCATTTCAACAAGAAGTAAACCGAGTTTTTTTTGTTTATTTCTTGGTTTATATTTGTGTATTTTTCTTTCTTTGGGGTTTCTAATCAGAGCTAAGTAAAATAATGAAAATTTATAAAAAAATAAGGGAATTGTAGACTAAATATGAAATGATTTATGTTGAATGAAATAGTCTTTTGTACCATGGTTCTTTAGTGACTGATTCTTGTATAATACCAGCTGAGTTTGCAAATTCATTAAGAATATAATTGGAATCCATGAATACTTCATAGTTTGGATCTTTCATTTGTTGCATCAATAAAGCTTTTTGTTTTGCATCATTTAAATGATGTATACGTTCTTGCCATCCAGCTTTTGCTTCTTGTTTTTCAGATTCAATCATCAATTCAATATAATTAACAATGATAATGGATTTGGTTTTAAAGCTATTTGTTCAAGTCGTTCAATAGCTTTACGTGCATTACCAATCATACCATAGACTGTCATTTGTGTTTTTTCGAAATCTTTTTTCAATAATTCAGCTAAATTGAGTGCCGTTTTACCATCATTTCGAGCTTTTTCATAACGTTTTTTCATTTCTTCTGATGTTCTTGTTTCATCTTCTTGATATAATTCAAATCGATAAGGATTATTAAAATGCGAATTCCAAATGCATTTTCCTGGACAAATACTACATGAAGCATTCAGATCTTTGTTAGCCATAGCATCACAATTATATTTTTCTTTATCATTTGGAATTCCACAAGGATAATGACATGTCTAATTACATTTAATACAATTAGTAACATAGGTATTTGATGGTAAATCGATTTTACGTTGTTTTGTCATTTTAATTTTATATTGAAATTTTTTGTTTTGTAATATATCATTTCCATGTGCTTTAATTACTTGAATTTCTTGTCTTAATTCTTCTAATTTATTAAGTCCAAATTGAATTTGTGGTTGAATACCTTGTACAATAGCTTCTAAATGTTGTCGTTCTGTTAATACTTCTTTTGTTAATGTTAAACTAGTCGGTTGTACTTTTTGAAATTCAATAAAAAAATTTTTAAGACTTGTGATGCCTAATTTCCAAAACATTTGATCAAAATTTTCATTTTCTTCTTCATGTGTTAATTTATTTTTGGCAAATAATGCAGAATTATTGAATTTAGAATATGTTCTGTATGGTAGATTTGCTTCACGAGCTGCTTCAAGTACAGGTGGTGTTTGTCCATCAGCAAATGTTATTATAAGAAAAACATTTTCTTTAATATCGTTACCAAACATTGAAAGAATAGAATCAAATATATATTTTTGAGTGTGTGTCAAACGATTGGCTGAACTTTGAATGACAAAACCAATAGCATCAATATGATCAATACCATGTGGACCAGTTATTTGAAAAAATTCATGAATCTGTTCTGTTATTTGAGCATCGCGCTTAGTTCCTTCTGTATCACCAAATCCCGGTGTATCAATTATGGTTAATGTGTATGATACGGTACAATCAGGTAGATGATGAAGTGTATATGCTGTTATCCATTTTGTTTGACTTTTTGCTTGACTTTGTGTTATACCATTAATTCCTTCATCTTCTTCTGTAATAAGTTTTAAACGAAAATTATCATTCCATTGTGTACCATAATAATAATTAACAATAGCATTAATCATCGTAGTTTTACCAGCTCCTGTTGCACCGACCATCATAATAATTTTCTCTGAAGGATATCGTCCATTGTAAAGAACAGCTTCACCAACAGAACATTTTCGTAAACGAAAATTTCGATTTATTATTTTTTCATTATATTCTAATTTGTATATAGTTGGAGTAGCATCATCTCCAACTTTAATTACTGTTGCATTCTGAAGTAGACGCATTGCAGCTGTTTTTATAGGTGGACTTGTAGTTCTGATAGGATCGCTAACGTCACTTATTAGACTATCACCAACAATTGTAATGGATTGAATTTTAAAAACATAAAGTGTGTTTACAGCTAAATTTGAAATAGTTTTCTTTTCGATCAATGTATCAGTTGTTACGTCATTCCATTTATCGTCTTCTTGATTATTTCCATCAATACAATATAAGACTTTGTATTTGTTAATAGAATTAAATCCACGTTCCGGTTTCGTCCATTCCAATGATATACTGTCAGATGTAATATTGATGGAATATGGTTTTCCCGGTTTACTCGGTATTTGAAAAATTGGTTGTTGTATACCATCTTCAAATAGTACCATTGTTGCTCCCTTAATATTATTATAATTACTAGCATATTGTTCATTTGTTACAAATTTAACATTTTCGTTTGTTTTATTTATTTTGGCAAATTCAATAAATAGACGTAATTCAGTTCGAATCATTTGAATAATATTCTTATCTTCATACCAAGGTAAATTTATAGTTGATGGAACAAATTTCGAACGATCATGAATATAATTATACATATCCGTCAGTTCAGATGCATTTGCTTCAGTAAAATGAAAACACAGACAGCAAACATAATCATAATTAATATCACTGATAACATCATCAAGTGATGTTGATGCTACTGAAATTGATTCTTTTTTTAATGCCAATGCAAATGTCGACAAGATTTTCAATTCATTTTCTTTTGAATCAAGCCATAATTGAAGTTTCTGTTTATTATAAGGTGATGAATCTATTTCTTTTAATAGATTAACTAATGCTAATTCTTCTTCACCACCACCACGAATTTTCGGTAATAGATTTATCATACGTTTGTGTAAATCACGTTTAAATTCTGATAAACGTGCAACAAAATCCATCAGTTGCTGTTTAATATGAAGGAAATCATTACATACTGAATTTTTACTTAAATCGTTTGCTTTCATAGTAAACTTATGCAAATATTCAATAGTTGATGTAAACGAATCAATCAAATTTATTGAAATTTGATATACAATTCTCAATGTTCCAGTCGGATCGATTGCTTTCAATGGATAAAGCCAAACTTTTTTTGGTACAGCATTCTCACCATTCTTACCAAGATACATTGGCAATTGTTGATATAGTTTAACAGCTTCTTCAAATGTACTTGGATTATAATCAAAATTAAAATCTCCATATAATGTACATGTTAATTTATCAATAAACACTTTATCATTTTCATTTAAATTTAATTCTCCATTACCACTTATTTCAAATTTTGGAATTTTTTTAAGCATAATTTCAAGTTTTCCTTGCACATCTTGATGATTTTCCTCTGAGGATAAGGTCCGATCGAAAATAAAAAATGCTTCAGCACCATACAAAACTGATGTAACAACATGTGTAGCAGTAGTTGCTCCATTAGCCAATAAATATGAATGTTTTGCATTACCCTTTGCCAAATGATTCATTGTTAATTGTTCAAATCGTGTCGTTGTGGAATATTTAAGAGTAAGACGTGCTTGTGAGTTAGACGATTTTCGATCTTCAGCGTATTTTCCAGAACCGGATACACTAATTAAACCTGCAAGTAAGCTTAATTTAAGTTCTGCTTGTACTCCAAGCGCATGAGTTTTGTCATTGATTGAATCTTCAGCGACCAATTCATAATTTGTAAACGGCTGTAATCGTACATCAACATTTTTTTTTAATTCTTCAATATCCCATAATGTAGTACCTGGAATAATCTGATCACTTCTTTGATCATACAGCATACCTAACTGAAATGGACGTCCTAACGTCGCTAGCTCAACTGGATTGTCTTCTGCCATTTCTGAAAAAGATATATTCTATATTAAGTACTTTAACATCTATAAATTATAAAACTTTTTTTATTTTAACAGGAGCGAAAATGTTTCGTAATTGTCAATATCAGCTAAGAAAGACTGTCAAAGTAAATTCTATATAGACTATCTTTATGATGGAGCCAATTGATATTGTGCAATTACGTTGGCACTATTACATAGTGATACATACAACACGACCATTGAATGTTTTTCATTTTTCGTATAGTATACATATAGGCTGTTTATAACTAGCAAACTATTGTTTTTACTATACAATGACATCATTATACATTCTTTTCTTTTCATCTTCGATCTAAACGAGATAGATCGAAAATAACTTGCAAACGTGAGTTCTGTCATTTTCGATAGTCTTTCTTAGCTAATATTGTCAATTACAAAATATTTTCGCTGCTGTTAAAATAAAAAAAGTTTTATATTTCAATATTAAGTCGTTCATTTACTTATATATATTATATCAAATAAACTAATACTATAAATTGACAAGTTTTCTTATCACATTGAAATAGGTAAAGATTACTGAATTCTACTCATAGGTTCTCCTTTTTAACTATTACAAGATTACTACCTGAGGTGTGAATGGAATGATCCTCTCTATTAAACTTGTTTTCTTACAAAAAAATTTCTGGTACTGATAAATAGATTAATGTAGATCGTTGATCAATAAATAATACGCTATCAATCTACTTGTATACCACACATGCTTTATTTCTAGAAAAGGATATACTATATATATGACAGCTGTTTATTATGGATATGGAATCATCCATCGAATGATTAAGACCAAATACTGGGAATAATCATACAAAGGCTATACAGAGAAGAAAATGAAAGACTAAACAAGTCTCATACATCTACTAACGGATCGTAAGACATAAAAAGCATTCTGTCCTTTCATATTTATCTCGTCGTAAGTCGTCACAGAACAGAAAAGAGAAAATCGTTATACAGACGTAAAACAAGTGACAGAATGAAAGAAAACGGTTACAGAGCATGTTCCCTATTAGAACAGGATTTTTGTATGCTAATGTTTTGTCTTTCGTATATCTATAGAACAGGGTGGATGTTGGTGTCGGCGTAAGGGTGCGGATATGCGTGTAGGTGTATGTGAGAGTGTGTTAGGGTTCGAGTTTCTTATTTCTCTTCTTTTATTTTGATAAACATACACACACATCATCATGAATCACATACTCTCTCTCACACACATAATAACTAAGCGGGTGTGGGTGCGGGTGCGAAGAAGGGTGTG